TTCCTCCATGATCCTCGCTGAGAAAAATGCACACGTCCGAGCGACGCCAAGCTAACCGCGACTGCACAAAAAGGGGAGCGCAACCGGGCGATGGCCACCCAGAGCAGGAACACGTCCAAGGAACAGGATCGGGGCAGCGCTGAAGGCAGCACGACAGATGGAGAGTAGCTAATAACCCCGAGAGCAGAAAGGACGCCCCAAAAGGCAAGGGCCAGGAAAAGAGTAGCGTGACAGCTGCTCCACAAGCGGTCAGTGGGCAATATGGCAGCCAAGTTCACAGAACCCCCCGAGACAGCCCACGGATCCAGAGGGTCCAAGACGGCCAACAATGGCCCTAACACAGCCCAAAGGGGGCCCAACAACGCCTGAGAGGGCCCTCAGAGAGCCCAAGAGGTAGCACATCACTCTGGACCCCAATTGTTTCCAATCATCCTAACATCTCTCTGGGGAATCAAGATTCAACCGCAGCCAAGCGAGTTCTGTTAGTTACGATGCCCGGCCACGCACGGCGTGCGTGTCCGCATCCGCAGGGGTGGGAGAGACCCACCTCGCCCTTGCTCGGGCGTCCCTTTCCCGTGCGTCGTTCGGTTTTGGCTTCGTGCGTTCGTCTCGAGATGGCACGCGCTGCTCCAGGATTGCCCTGACTCTCGGGCGCGTGCCTCGCCGAACTCGTTGCCCACGCCCGAGCAATCCCAAGTCACCCCAGGGGCGCCTTCCGCACACAAATGCCGCAGGGCGTGCGCCCCGTTCCGTGCATGTGCGTGTGCGTGTGCGTGTGCCTGTGCGTGTGCGTGGGCGTGCCTGTGCGTGTGCGTGGGCGTGTGCGTGTGCGTGTGCGTGTGCGCGTGCCTCGCCGAATTCATTGCCCACGTCCGAGCAATCCCAAAGCACTCCGGGGGCGCCTTCCGCACACACACATGCCGCAGGGCGTGCCGTCCGTTTCGTGGCCACCGGGCGCAGGCTGCACCGCACTCGCGGAAAGCGGGTTCTGGACAAGAACTTCGCCGCCGCCGCCGCCGTCGTCGTCGTCGTCGTCGCCGTCGCCGTCGCCGTCGTCGTCGTCGTCACCGTCGCCGTCGTCGTCGCCGCCGTCGCCGTCGTCGTCGTCGTCGTCGTCGTCGTCGTCGTCGTCGTCGTCGTCGTCGCCGTCGCCGTCGTCGTCGTCCCTTCCGGGTCGGCGGCGCCGGCCGTGAGGCCATCCGCGACGTGGCAGGACGCGCGCGCTGGACAGGCGCCTCGCCGAGCCGAGCCTCCCCCCCGCGCGACGCTTCTGCAGCCCGCGGCGCGCTCGCCGGCTGTCCGTGGGCACCTCTTCCCCCACAGAGTAAAACTCTTCGTGGTCCCATGAGGAGCTCCACCGAAGCCCCCGGTGGGACCGCCCGCGTGCGTCCCACACACCCGATTTGGCATTTCACCCGCCCAGTACAGCGCTTCGTGGCCCCATAGGGAGCTCAACCGACGGCCCCAGTGGTGCCGCCCGCATGCGTCCCCCCCGAGGAATGCAGCGCTTCGTACCACTTGCTGCGCGGGCTCCTCGCTCTGGCGTTAAGGCGGGCCTGTCCCCCTACAGGGGGGATTTTTGACGAAACATAAAAAGTAGTCCGAAAAATATTCCAAAATGGCAGAAAAATGCTCACAACATAGTCCCCCGACAATTTTTTTGACTATTTTTGGATTTCCCCCCTGTAGAGGGACAGGCCCGACTTGACTCTGGCGCAGGGCCGGACATCTGCACCAAGCCTCATCACGGGCACAATCTGGTGCCGGCCCCGTCGACTGGGAGAGAGGCAGAACGTACGCTGCACCTTCCTCCACATGCCCTGCACGACCCTCCCATACATCTGCTGTATGTACCTCTCGGCTCTCGGTTCCTCATGCCTCTGAGATCGAACGCATGCGATGTGCAAACTCTCCGTTTGCGACCGCTGCGCGCAGCCCCCTGCAGCAGCGTTGCCTCCGGGGAGACAGGGAGGGAGTTGCACAGATCTCGCGACAACAATCTCCCAAATCAGTCCTCTTCAAACTGCGTGGGCCCCAAACCATGAGCGTGTACACTCTGGAATCGCAAGCTTTGTGGTGGGAGCTACGCGGTGCAAGCTATGGAAGCTATGTGGCAGAATCGATGTGGCCCGCGGGCGGCCACCAGGTGAAAACCATGAAAGAGCAACAAACGCCCGAGGCGACCACGAAGCGGTCAAGCGAGAATGACAGCCATCACACGATGCGCCCACGAGGTGACCACAGGCAGCCACCAAGCGAAAACGCGGTGGCTGGCAAATCAACTAACAACACCCAACTGGTGTCCCCCTTGCTAGGCTTGCGTGGCACGCGTTGTCACGGTCAACTTCAGGCTGCTTCGATTGCTGTTGACCCTGGCCTCGGCAAACACAAATCCTGGCAAATGGCCCAGCCAACTGCAGCTGTGGGTCTCGCGAGGCAGCTGAGAAGAAGGATGAGGACGAGCACATGGACAGACTGAGGCGCGCGAGCTTGACCCACTGGAGCCTTTGGTTGAGTTCTCTATGGGGTCACAGAGCGCGACAGAGGTGTGCCGAAATTGGTGCGGAGCTGGCAGGCGAACTCTGAAACGGGGTCGTGAGGAATGTGCCGAACGCTGGCGTGCGAGCCTTGGCACAGGCGCACTTGGAGCCCCCTGTGGGGCCACGAAGCGTGCGAAGGGTTTGCCGAAATGGGTGCGGCGCCGCCATGCGCACTTTACCCCAGACAACGGTGACCTTATTCGCAGCGTCCTCATGCTGAAACAAGCAACAACTCGCAGCACACTGAACAACATGAACACGTAATATGCACTTGCATCGTACATGACGCATGGCTGGACACATGTATTGGCCCGGACACATTGTCAGGCCATAGCCGTCGATATTACCTGGCTTATGGCTCACAGTAATGAAGCAGCAGTTTACCGCACGGTTGCCAGATCACACTTGCTTTCTCGCGAGCCTGGCACATTATGCCAGGTCAAGGCTGACACACCATACCATGACACCGAAGAGCACCGATACTTACAACGCCCGAGCGAGACGTTCGATGGAAAGGATGCGCGTAGCAATGTGCGAAACAACACCTTGCAACGATTCCTACCTGTAAGACCGCAACCGCCAAGTCCCAACACACATCCGCAGACTCATGGTGTTGTCGTGATGCCAACGCAAGACGCTATCAACACAATGTGCGCACAATACCTGAAACGAGTCCTGCCGTATCCACAAGCGGCATCAAAAGCTCAGTGGGGGGGCGGTATGAGGGCGACGCCTCGGGCCTCTGCTCAACAGCAGCCTACTACAAACAAATGATTACCAGCGTGGGGCCAAAACAATTACATCTGAGAAACACCCAATCAATGGATGGCTCAAATATACGTACGCGTACACACGTGTACATGTGAATTCTCTACGTGTGCATATGTGCATGTAGTTCCACATGCCGAAGTCAGGCCACGGAGCCCCGTGGTTGGACAGTGCGATCGATAGTAAGAGCCATCGTGAGCTCGATGGTGAGATTGAGACTGGGATCATTAATGACTTCGGTAGTGATGTGGGTATTGAAATTGGTTTTGAGATCGATCGTGAGATCGACAGGATGGTAAGGTTGATCATGAGAACGATCGTGTCGGACCGATAAGTGAAGTCTACTCAGTGGGATCGATAGTGAGATCGATCATGAGATCGCCCAGGCGGTCTATAGTGAGATCGATTGTGAGATCGATAATGGAACCGATTGTGATATCGATAGTGGGATCAATTGTTAGATCGATAAAAAAATTGGTAATGAGATCGATGGTGAGGTCGATCGATAAAGAGATCGACTAGAAACGCGGGAGCCCGGAAACCCGGGAACCCGCCGCCCACCGATATCGGCCCACGTGAACTCTCCAGGAGGCTGAAACGAAAAAACGCTCAAAAAAAACTCGAGTCTAGAAGTTCGATCTTCGAGGTTCGAAAGCAATGTTTCATCCCGGATTCGTTTTTGACGGTCCCGGGACCCGAAAACGGCCCCCAGAGGCATAACAAAACCAAAAGCCTTCTGAAACCCAGAACCTCGAACCTGCCCGCCCTTCCTGCTCGCCGGAACCAGTGCTGTTCCACCTCAGATCAGACTCCAAACCGGCCCTAACAAGTCTAGAAGCTGGATCCTCGAGATTCGAGCCTTAGGTGGCGACATCCGAACCCCACCCCGGGGACAGGGATCGGACTCCGCCGCGTGCTCGACACATCCCGAACCCTGACGCCGCCGCACATCGAGTGGCAAAGTTCGGAATTCGCAGCAACGAACGGATGTCGCAGCACCCGTTCCGAACCGTTGGTCAGCGAGGGCTGACTACCTACCAAACCACCCCAACCCAAACCGAAGTAACCGTTGGGTTCGTCGACTTCCAATGGGGGGGCACTCCAAAATATCCAGAACATACGATAACAAAAAAACAAAACAAACATACGCAACCCGAACTGTTTTGGAATCCCGCAATGGGTACGGGAAAAATGGGTACAGTGCTCAACAACAAATGTTGTCCCAAACCAACAGCGGGCGGCCGCTGTTGGGCAGACGGCCTTCTGTCTCGAATGGACACAGGCCGCGGCGGCGTGGACAGCGAGTCATGTTCAAAATGAACAGGACCTGCTGTTGGGCATCGTACCCATTCTCTCCATACCCATCTCGGGCGTCCAGAACTTTGGGTGCCAACGAAGGCGACGACGAGGGAGGAAGGACGACGACGGCGACAACGACGACAACGACGACAACGACGAGGGAGGAGGGAGGACGGCGACGACGCGAACGACGAAGAAGGAGGAAGGACGGCGACGCCGACGACGACAACGACGAGGGAGGAGGGAAGACGACGACGACAACGACGACGACGACGGGTGGGCTTGGTCAGCAGTGAAGGGCAGGGCTCGGTCTCCACCGCGGCCGGATCGGCAGCGGCCGAGCTGCCCACGCGTGCCCGGGCCCTCCGCGGAGCAGGCCCTCCCCCGGGGGCTCGCCATCGCTTGGACGTCCATTCCCTGTGTGTTTTTCGGTTTCGTGCGTGGTTTTTCCGCCAAATGATCGAGGATGGTCCTCGCCGAAGGAATGCACACGTCCGAGCGATGCCAAGCCGAGGGCCTCTGCCCCATCTAGCGCGGAGCAGCGCCCTCCGCCGCAAGGCCCATAGATTTAAGTCGGGCCTGTCCCCCTACAGGGGGATTTTGAGCGAAAAATGAAGAATACTCAAAACAGATTCCAAACATGCTCGAAAGATGCCCCAAAATATTCAAACAATAATCACCAGACTATCTTTTGACTATTTTTGAGCATCCCTCTTGTAGAGGGACGCGCCCGACTTAACCACAGATCCGAGGCGTCGAATGCAGAAGATGAGAGCGGCCGTTCTGTGTGCCGTTTTCGTCCTCTGGGGCGCCTCGACTCGCTCAGGAGGCCCTCCGCCGGCCAGATCGGAGAGCACTCGAGGGTGCCCTCCGCGAGGATGCGCAAGCACGTGCAACAAAGCATCAGAACATTAGGTTGCCCTCCCGAGCTGACCTCGATCCTATACCTCCGTCCAGAAGTACACGCAAGAGCGACCCTTGGCAGGACTGACCTTCGGTGCGCGGCCTAAGGGGGGGGCGTGTGGGGACACCACCAGGCGCGCAATCCGTTGTTATCGCATCGCGTTCAGCGATTGGGAGGCACGGTTGGGCCCGCACCAAAGGCCAATCCAGCGAGAGGTCACTCTGGGTGCCCCAACCGAGGTTTGCTAAAGGTGCCCCTGGCCCAAGGTGCCCCCAGCTTGTCGGTCGATTTTGCAGACCGTGGGGCCCTCTGGGCCTCGTGAGGGGTGCTCTTGGAGGCCGAGGGAGCCTCCTTGGGAATCCTGGGGGCACCTTGGGCCAGGTGCAATTCTAGCAACACCAGACTCAAGGGGCCCTAGGACTGTAACAAACACGACGTGCGACGAAGAAGCCTCGACAACACTTGAGCGCCGACTGTCTGGGGGGCAGGGATGGGGAGATCCGGAAGCCAACAGAACTCTACGGCGGGTCCGCATCGTCCCGTCTACGAGCCATGGAAAAACCACGACACAAGGTTCTGCCCTACTTTCGGCCTCTGGGGGCCCTCGCCAGGCACCAGGACAATCAAAAACGACACAATATGAGGAACCTGTCCCGCGGAATGAGTCGAGACCTCCCCAGACCCCCGACGTCGTGATTTGTTCACAACGTCGACCTCCAGAGGTATGGACCCCTTCCCCAGGACCAGTTTTTCATCCTGAGTCGTTTTTGACGGTCCCGAGGCCTGGTGAAAGCCCCAAGAGACCGAAAACAACGAAAACCTCCCGTCGTGTTTTTTCACAACGCGAGGGGTCTGGGTCCAGGGATCGACGTTGTGAACAAAAACTCATGACGCTGAGTGCACGCCCACTGTCGGGCAAATTCGCGCCGTGCCAACTTCAGAGCTGGTTCCGGACACCGCGGGGATCGTCCAACCTTGAACGATCGGCCGTTTCCGAAACATCACATCGTTCGACATCGGCGGTCAGTGGTTCAAAGATGGGGTCCTGAGGGATGGGGTCCTAGGAATCAGGTGCCTCAAACAACGTAGATGTATCCTTGGGCCCCTTTCTATCTTTATAAGTGCCCCATCCATTGGGACCCCATCTTTGAACCACCGAGGCGGATTCTGGGTCGCCGGCGCCGTGCAACGTGGAATGCCGCCGGCGGGGCCGCCGCCAGTGGACACGACGCGAACCTACCACCGTAAAGCAAAACCTTCCTGGGGCCTCGGGGTGGCCCTGGGATCCCCGCAGCCCAGCGCGGCGGTGACGACGCCGAGGACGGCGCCGAGGGCGGGGACTGGGAAGGCGGGGAAGACCCTAGGGAGGCGAACACCCGCGCGGAGCAGCCCAGGACGTCTGGTGGGCGGGCAGGCTCCGCGAGTAGGATGCAAAATGCGAACCCTACCCCTACCCCCCACGGAGGGGGGGGGGTCACTTCGTTCGGGAGCTCCCGAGCGACTCCTCCTCCTCCTCCTCCTCCTCCTCCTCCTCCTCCTCCTCCTCCTCCTCGACCTCCTCTTCCTCCTCCTCCTCTCCTCCTCCTCCTCCTCCTCCTCCTCCTCCTCCTCCTCCTCCTCCTCCTCCTCCTCCTCCTCCTCCTCCTCCTCCTCCTCCTCCTCCTCCTCCTCCTCCTCCTCCTCCTCCTCCCCTCCTCCCTCCTCCTCCTCTCCTCCTCCTCCTCCTCCTCCTCCTCCTCCTCCTCCTCCTCCTCCTCCTCCTCCTCCTCCTCCTCCTCCTCCTCCTCCTCCTCCTCCTCCTCCTCCTCCTCCTCCTCCTCCCTCCTCCTCCTCCCCCTCCTCCTCCTCCTCCTCCTCCTCCTCCTCCTCATCCTCCTCCTCCCTCCTCCTCCTCCTCCTCCTCCTCCTCCTCCTCCTCCTCCTCCTCCTCCTCCTCCTCCTCCTCCTCCTCCTCCTCTCCTCCTCCTCCTCCTCCTCCTCCTCCTCCTC